TAGTAATAGTAATAGTAATAGTAATAGTAATAGTAATAGTAATAGTAATAGTAATAGTAATAGTAATAGTAATAGTAATAGTAATAGTAATAGTAATAGTAATAGTAATAGTAATAGTAATAGTAATAGTAATAGTAATAGTAATAGTAATAGTAATAGTAATAGTAATAGTAATAGTAATAGTAATAGTAATAGTAATAGTAATAGTAATAGTAATAGTAATAGTAATAGTAATAGTAATAGTAATAGTAATAGTAATAGTAATAGTAATAGTAATAGTAATAGTAATAGTAATAGTAATAGTAATAGTAATAGTAATAGTAATAGTAATAGTAATAGTAATAGTAATAGTAATAGTAATAGTAATAGTAATAGTAATAGTAATAGTAATAGTAATAGTAATAGTAATAGTAATAGTAATAGTAATAGTAATAGTAATAGTAATAGTAATAGTAATAGTAATAGTAATAGTAATAGTAATAGTAATAGTAATAGTAATAGTAATAGTAATAGTAATAGTAATAGTAATAGTAATAGTAATAGTAATAGTAATAGTAATAGTAATAGTAATAGTAATAGTAATAGTAATAGTAATAGTAATAGTAATAGTAATAGTAATAGTAATAGTAATAGTAATAGTAATAGTAATAGTAATAGTAATAGTAATAGTAATAGTAATAGTAATAGTAATAGTAATAGTAATAGTAATAGTAATAGTAATAGTAATAGTAATAGTAATAGTAATAGTAATAGTAATAGTAATAGTAATAGTAATAGTAATAGTAATAGTAATAGTAATAGTAATAGTAATAGTAATAGTAATAGTAATAGTAATAGTAATAGTAATAGTAATAGTAATAGTAATAGTAATAGTAATAGTAATAGTAATAGTAATAGTAATAGTAATAGTAATAGTAATAGTAATAGTAATAGTAATAGTAATAGTAATAGTAATAGTAATAGTAATAGTAATAGTAATAGTAATAGTAATAGTAATAGTAATAGTAATAGTAATAGTAATAGTAATAGTAATAGTAATAGTAATAGTAATAGTAATAGTAATAGTAATAGTAATAGTAATAGTAATAGTAATACACGTGTACGACAATGCATCTGTCGTCAGGGTGAAAATACATCTGTTGTAAGGAGAAAATGCATTTGTTGCAAGGAGAAAATACATATGTTTCAAGGAGAAAATACATCTGTTGCAAGTGGAAAGTTCACCTGTTGCAAGCAAAGAAACATATCTGTTGCTAGGTGATAACTCATCAACTGCGAGCAAAGAAATACAACTGTTGCAAAGGGAATATTAAAAAAAATAACACCTGTTGCATATGACTTTCAAAAACAATTTATCATAAAACATAAAAAAAAATAAAGCCTACCCAGCATAGTCTAAATGAAAGGAAAATAAAAGTCTAAATCCTCTCATAACGAATAAGAAAAGGCACAGATGATTGTATCAGCTTTAAAGTTGGAAAACGTAAAGTAAACAGAAAGAAAACAACTTTAAACTTTAGAGTAGGAAAGTGAGGGGGGGGGGGGTTGAGGAGAGGGGGGGAAAGAGAAGGGAGGAGAGAAGATAGAATGAAACTTGATGACTTGCAATTAAGGCTATAAACTTTAAATCATAATTAAACTTTGATACAATGATGAGAGGGTTTGAGTTACCAATTAGGGTTTTAAACACAAGGACGTCGTGATTGATGTGGGTGAGAAGGCAAAATTATCTTAGGGTGATTTCTAGGGGCGTTATGTAGGGTTCTGTGGCAGCCAGGGTGTGGTGAGTGCGTTGTGTGTGTGAGGGCAGGATGGTGAGTGTGTTGTGTGTGAGGGAAGGATGGTGAGTGCGTTGTGTGTGAGGGCAGGATGGTGAGTGTGTTGTGTGTGTGTGTGTGTGAGGGCAGGATGGTGAGTGTGTTGTGTGTGAGGGCAGGATGGTGAGTGTGTTGTGTGTGTGAGAAAAGGATGGTGAGTGTGTTGTGTGTAAGGGCAGGATGGTGAGTGCGTTGTGTGTGAGGGAAGGATGGTGAGTGTGTTGTGTGTGAGGGCAGGATGGAGAGAGTGTTGTGTGTGAGGGTAGGGTGGTGAATGCGTTGTGTGTGTGAGATAAGGATGGTGAGTGTGTTGTGTGTGAGGGCAGGATGGTGAGCGCGTTGCGTGTGTGAGAGAAGGATAGTGAGTGTGTTGTGTGTGTGATGGAAGAATGGTGATTGTTGTATGTGATGGCAAAATGGTGAGTATGTTATATATGTGGTGAATCTGTAATAAATACGTGTGGTGTAAGAATGATGAGTATATTCTACGTACAATGGCAGCATTGTGAATATGTTGCATGCATTGTGAAAGAATGGTGGGTAAGTTGCATGTCTCCTGAAACAGTATTGCAGCAAAGTGCTAGAGATTCGCTGACAATTATAGGTGGTATGTAAAAGGCGCCTTAGAGGATTGTGAAAATTATGTTTCATATGCAGAGGATGATTGCTGTGTGTGTTTTATGTCTAGTGAGTTTAGTTAATATTTCATTGCAATAATGATGACCTTAAATATGTTGCGATAAGAAGATCACTTAGAACAATAACAATAAACACATCGCTTGATATTGAAAACCATAATAAATCACTGTAATACTGCCTATGACTGTAATAACGATAACAAATAAAACAGCTAATAACAATGAAAACAATACTAACAAAGCTAAGACTATCAATAATGAGAGAAATAAAAAAACAAACTCATTTATATAACGAATTGCAAACCCGTTCATGTTTATGCTAGAAATTCCATCTCAAACTGAAATCATAACATCAAACAATATTGGTTTTTCGCCGAAAGAACCAGAAAAAAAGCTAATCTCATCACATAGGAGTGGATCCCTTCCTGCTGAATCCGAATCCAATACAGAAGATCCAAACATCAAAAGTGGAATGCATTTATACCCTACAACCCCTCTCCCCTCCTCCTCCCTTACCCCTCCCTCCACCCATCCCCCCCATTAAAAAAAGAGAAAACAAAAAAAAAAGAATTCGAATCCCCATATCTCCTCCCTTCCCCCCCCCCTTTAAAAAAAATACTCCCGTTGAGAAAATAGAAGAAAAAAAAAACATAAGCCAAATTCACACAGATAAGTTCCCTTGAAGACAAACTAAAATCGGAAGATGAAAGAAAAGATAATTTATAAAGAAATTTGACGACGAGGACGAAAGAAGAGGGGGGAAGAGGATGGGAAGAAGGGAGGAGGGGAGGGGGGGGAGTAGGCTGACATCCCCTCCCCCCTCTTTCATCCACCCCCCCCTCTACCCTCCCCCTCCTCCTCCCTCCCCCGGGTTAATTCCCTTCCCCTCCCATACATAATTGAGATGCATCGAGGGACGGGGGTATGACAGCGCCAAGCCTCAGGTGGTGATAAGGGTGATTTCCCCTCTCGGACCTTGTGGTGGACACGGTCTTATCTGTTTCCCTGAAGGGTTTTGATAGATTCATGGCTTGAAATATATGTATTATTCAAGCTTGCGAAGGGTAGTGGTTTAGGCGGGGGTCGTCGGCCATCAGTTGCCATCAAATGCTGTGTAAAAGCTGAAAACAAGAGGGGGAGAATCTTCCGCGGGGAAAGGACACCTGAGCGGCCTCGCTGGCTCTCCCGCTCGCCCGGAGGATTCTCTCTCTCTCTCTCACTTGCTATCTATCTATCTGTCTATCTGTCCATCCATCCATCCATCCATCCATCCATCCATACATACATACATACATACATACATACATACATACATACATGTGTATATGTATGTGCATGTATGTATGTATGTATACATATTATATATATATATATATATATATATATATATATATATATATATATATATATATATATATATTTATGTATATATATATATATATATATATATATATATATATATATATATATATATATATGTATATATATATATATATATATATATATATATATTTATGTATATATATATATATATATATATATATATATATATATATATATATATATATATATATATATATATATATATATATATATATATGCACACATCACGATCTCACTTGTGTTTTACCCACCCTCCCGTCTATCACACTTTCCTCCTTCCCTCCCTCTCTTCCTTCCTGACACAGACACACACATCGGGCTTACGCCTAAAATAATTCTACTCACTATCATTCTCCCCTCTTCTCCTTCTCCTTCCTCTCACGTCCCTGTCTCCATTTCCCAATACTTACTGTCACAATTTTCACAGCTTTTCACTCCACCTTTTTCCACTCCCTCTCTCTTCGTCACCTGCTATTTACAGGCTCCAGGTATCCGCGAGTGGGTTTAGCACTCCAGATTGCCCTCTCCTCTCGCTCTCCCACTCCACACACTACCTTCTACCTTCACCTCTCCTTTGGTTCGTCTGTGATCCACCGGGAATGTGTCACCGTCCTTCCCCTATTGCCCTTGGGGGGGTGAGCGCTCCAACTCTGCCGTCTCCTCTCTCCCCACTCTCTTCCCCATTCTCCGTAATCTTCTTCTTCACTTGAATCCACTTCCCACTCACCTATGATAGAGCGTTTGTCACAGGACTTCATCTTTACCGTGATGCTATCATGGGGACCAACTCGACCCTCTCCTCTCATCCCTCTCATCTCCAACACGCCCATTCACCCCCAACCTTCCTCTGACTCCCCTCCAACCCTCATCCTTCACACTATCAACTCGCCCACTCCCCTCCAACCATCCTCCCTCACTCCCTCTCCCACTCCCCTCCAACCCTCCTCCCCCTCCCCTCCAACTCTCCCACTCCCTTCCAACCCACCTCCCTCACCCCTCCAACTCTCCCACTCCCTTCCAACCCTCCTCCCTCACCTCCAACTCTCCCACTCCCTTCCAACCCACCTCCTTTTCACCCCCCAACCCCCCCCCCCCCCCCCCAACCCCCCTTCCCCCCCCCCCCCCAAACCCTCCCACTCACCTAATTAAACATTCAACTCACCTGTGATCCAGCGGGAGTTTGTTTCCGTCCTTCATCCACAGTACAAGGGGTTCCGGATGGCCACGAGGGGGGGAGCACTCCAACTCCGCCCTCTCCCCGGCCACCACCCGCGTTCCCGTCGGCGAGGTTCGGAAGTCATCTCTCAGAA